CGAAAAAAACAACAACCGGAAATAGGTCCGAATGGTGCACGGTCAAAAGTTTGTGGCGCAGTCGAACATAAACTCTTAAACTTTTGCATAATGACTAGATCTAGATCTAGTATCAATAATTATTTGTCTTACCAGATCAATATTTTTGTAAACATCTGTTACCTGTATTCTAGAAAATTCCTTAATAAACACTACGGTAATTAAAAATCCAAGTGGGTAGGCTCAAAGAAATTGTAGAAGGTTTACAGCTGAGACAGTATATATATTGGTTTTAAAAGTGAGTCGTGATATTTTTCTGATGGCAACATTATCCTTATTGAACGCATGTTCTGAGAACTATTAGTGCAAAAATGTGTTCACTATAAAATTCATTTCTTGTAACAAGTACAAGTTTTGTCCCTAAAAAGTGGCGTTGGTGAGCAGTGACGTAGGCCATAGGCTTATGCAAAATGCGTATGAGAAGCGGGAAGTGCAGTGAACAATCCTATTTTCCGCGTGATGGAGATTTATAGTGTTTTACATAAATTTATGAGGAATTTTGTTTTTAATCTAGTCTCAATTGTAGTGGAAAAATACGATTAAGTTAAGGCTAATTGAGACTAACTTCTGTGCAAAGTAAGCGTGACATTGATTTACCTAATAATAATCATAATATTTGAAAATAAGTTGCGCCACGAATTTTTCACCGCCCTACATATAGGCTATTGATTATAATTGAAACCTACGGCCCTTTCTCTAAGATACGTCTCTATCCGTAAAAACAGAATTCAACTCAGTTATTTTGAAAAGAAATAGCTAGAGAAGACAACACTAGAACGTCCAGTGATCAGTTGAAGAAGAAAGAAATATAGAAATTCTCAATTTGAACACACCTGCAAAGAAAGAATAAGTCGATGAAAACTGTCCATGTTTGTTCTGTTTTTCTTTTGTTTTTTGTTTTTCGTTTTTGTTTAATGTTTTTCCTCCGTACAGACAAGGAAACAAGTACATGGATAAAAACAATTAAAAGGTTAACGTCAACGTAAGCGAAATGAACTCCACATACACACATACACACACACACATACACACACACACACACACACACACATA